CCCAAGCTGTGACGGTCCTCTCGCTCCTGCCTCCCGCGCTGGGGCTGCCGCAGAGAGCCGTGCTCTGGTGCTCTGCACGTGGGCAGGGGAATGGTTGCTCGCAGAGCTGAACACACTGTTGGCATTCTTCCCCTCAATACGCATTTCTTTCTTTCTGTTCCCCCCAGACATACGTCTGCTAGGAACCCCACAGTGCCTTGACACCGGCACAGCGTGTAGTGCACGGAGTGTTCTGTGGTGGCTTTATTTCTGCATATCCCGTGCCTACTCAAGCGCACGCTGATTGTTGTCACTGTGCTGTTGCCATCGATTTCACCGGCTTGGGGGTCACGTGCAGGTTTTCCGCTGACATGCCTGTGTCTAAAGGCAAAATGTATCCTGAATTTCTTTGGCTCATTTCATCCCAGTAGAGGCAATTCCCTGAACATGTCACTGAAGATGCTCCCCCCCCCCCCCCCCAGCCCCTGACACAGCAGCTCTGCACTCTCTGCTGCTTTCCCAGTATCGCTGTGTTTCCACTCCGACGTTGGAATGAACACAGACCCAGCCTGGTCTGGCCTGGATAGACGTGAACGCCCAGCTGGAGCAGCGCGGTGTGGGTGACTGAGGGCAGGTACACGCGCTCCAAGTTCTCAGGATGTTTCTGAACTTCCCCTGGATTTCCCAAATAAAGATTTGTACTAAATATACCCAGGAGGTGTCAGTCGTTCTTTCCCTGCCCGGGCTGGAACGCTGCTTTCCTGGCCGTGAAGGGCAGGGCTGGCATGAGAGCACGGATGCGAAGCTGCCAGGTTGCGCCCTGCTTTCCCTCTCCAGCAGGCTCTGGGGTGGGGTAGCAGTCCCCTGGCAGTGGCTTTTCCGAGGGCCGGAGCCAGGTTCCCGCGCTGCCGGGCCGCAGCTGTGTCCCTTCTGCTGCTCTCCCCAGCGAGACTGAACTGAGGGCTCAGTCCGTCTGGGGCTGGCCCCCAGTTTTACCTCAGCCAGCAGAGCCCCGGCACAGCAGTGGGCAGAAAGCTCCGGCAAGCTCATGGGGTAGCAGTCCCCTGGCAGTGGCTTTTCCGAGGGCCGGAGCCAGGTTCCCGCGCTGCCGGGCCGCAGCTGTGTCCCTTCTGCTGCTCTCCCCAGCGAGACTGAACTGAGGGCTCAGTCCGTCTGGGGCTGGCCCCCAGTTTTACCTCAGCCAGCAGAGCCCCGGCACAGCAGTGGGCAGAAAGCTCCGGCAAGCTCAGGTCAGCAGCAGGTTAAGTGGAAACCTTTGCCTTCCCCAGGAAGCAGCCTGGGGGGGGTGTTGGGAGATCTTGGGCAAGAGCCTCTGAAGTCTGACTCGTAGCGTGTTGCAGTGGTGTTTTTCAAGTAAAGCCAGCATGTGATGTGCCCTGTGCCCTTTATTTCAGAACAAAGAGGCTGCTGTCACCATTTCTGCTCGGTTTTGGAATGTGGCAGGTCATGTTGCGTTTGAGAACAGGCACATTTCTGTTCGTGGGAGACCATTTCCCAGTGGTGTCGGTGTGTACTTAGTGCTGTTCGTGGTGAGGAGGGTGGTCCTTGGAGGTAGTCGGGAACACGAGGGATGT